TTAAACAATACGTAATAGGTAATTGTGAATCTAACAAAATGACTCTCGCTAGTTAATACTTTATATTATATCGTACCTAAGTCTGATTTCGGATAAAGCTAACTTCGCTTTTATGTAATTAACTGAATTCGATATTCTATAAGATTTGATTCTTGGTTTCGAACGCTATCGCAATGACAAAGTTTATCTTGATTAATACGTTTGTAGTTTATATGATGAATACTCTTTTTCGAAATTAATAATATTAGCGCGTTATAGTCTACCGCAGCGAGGAATCCGACTTAAATGTGATTCTCTAAGTGTACCTAGATATGCTTTCGCAAAGTTAGACAGATTAACGATTTTATCAGATATCTAACGCGGTGTAGTCGACTACTGAAATTACGCTGATGACAGAACAATATTCTTTTATTAATTCAAAATTCCAAAATTTGTTTGAATCTAAATAAATTATTTCCTCGGAACAGTTACTCTTTTAATCTGATTCGACAACTAATTGTCCATGACCCTTTTTGTCAAAACCCTTTGTGTCAAAACGAACACTGACAACCAAAACCAGATCGCTTAATTGGGGAGCCTGCGTCAGCTAGCTACTAGAACGATCCAACGATACAGGAAAAGGGTGAACTGTATAAGTCTAACAGGGTAGCAAATCAATTGACTCTAATTATAAAATCGTGATTGCTGAACTGCCACCCAAAAGACGGGCTTCAGAGACCAAGCCGCTCAAATGGGGAGCCTGCGTTAGCTAGCTACGAAACGACCCAGAGCGAGCTCCGAGAATCTGATGGCGCGTTAGCAATCCGATGAAAAATCAAATGTGAGTAGCTGAGAGCTATCGTTTCGATATCTTAGCCTTTCTTGGCGCTAAGTATAGCACTCTCCTAGCGGAGTTTCAGATACTAGACCGTTTGAATGGGGAGCCTGCGTTAGCTAGCTACTAGAACGACCCACAATCAAGTATCCAAATGGCGTATACCCGCTTTACCAGTCAAGTAATAAGAATCGTTGCGGCTCTTGACAACGAAAACTGTTCCGGTTATACTTACCTGAAGACTTCTAGCTCGCTCGACTTCGAAAACTGTTCTGCGATTTAGGCGAGTTTCGCTCGGCCTTTTATACTCGCCAGCCTGGCAATTTCTTGGGAAACCCCCGTAATGTCGAAATATATAATTGTCGTATAAATTCGCAATTAGACATTAATTATGAAAACGGACGATTTAATTACATTATTAATATCGCATCCTACATAATGGTTCATGTTCCTGATATAAAAATAGTCATTTAGTAGTGTTTTAATGAAAATTACATTTCCTATCTTCTTCTATACAGGGTGTCTCACAACTCGTGTATGTCCCTGAAATGGGGGGTAGCTGACGTGATTCTAAGCAAGATTTCCCTTTGCAAAAATAGGGTTTGAAGCGGCGTTTTTGAGTTATTAACGAAAAACACGGACCAATCAGAGCGCCAGGATTACGCGCGCCGAGAAGCGGGAGCGAAAGCTTCGAGCCAGTCGCCGAAGTGCGAGGGCGATCAACTGACAATGAGTTTTCCTCGGAACTGCCTAAACATTCAACGCGAATTCTTTATATCGAAACTCAGTTAAATAACTAGCAGAATAATTAAAAGTATTGTTCATTTATTCATTCCTCATGAAGTAGGATCGGAATTAGTTATGTGTAATTGACAAAGTATGCAAATGTGACAAGGAATGTGACATTAACATGTAGATTGCCATGGGGGCGACCGGTGGCCGGCGACGCAGCAAATGATAAAAGTATATAATTATAGTAAATATGGATACTGATAAATTTTTCAATGATACCATTGTTACTATAATGGTTTGAAGAAATTAATGCAATATAGGACATCCAAAATAATTTTATTACAACATGAAAAATATACATATTATCAGTGCATATTACGATGAGTCGGATTGAAACACTCAAGGCAAAGAAAAGGTGAATCAACGCGATCGGAACAATATGTCACCACCTTTTTAGTAGAATTCTTTGCTTCAATTCTTCCTAATTGCTTTGAATTTTTGTTATAGCACACCTTACAGAATCGCCTTACATTTCGTGCATTTCCCGGCATTTTTTTTAATTCATGAAGAGGTCTGCTCTGTACGCATTTTTTTGAGAAATATAATCATTATCGGAGCATTTCATTAGATACATTGCTAATTTCATCCTAAAATCAGGAATTGCAATATTTTTCCGGGTTACTTGTTTGAATAATAGTACTATATTTACAATACAAGTATTAAGTAAAAGTTCTATTGCCAGTACCATTTTATAGTTCTACGCAGTGGTGAGCTATAAGCAAACACTTGATCAGATAAGTCGACTGAAGATTTCCCTAAATTATATTCAACTATCATTTTCGGCTTTTCTTTTGAACAGTTTCTTTTCTATATAGTTGTCATTTCTGCTAAATGTTTTGTAGATAGCATAAACACATCTCTTTTATCTTTCCATTTTAAGATAGTTACTCCATTTTTATTTTCTCGCGCGATAGCATCTCCACGTTTTAATTTTTGGGCCACTACTTCTTTTGGATTTCCGCGCCGATTTTTTCTTAGGGTACTCAATAAATGTGTACGCATATCAAATAATCTTTCCGCCAGGTCAACACTTGTGTACCAATTGTCAGTACAGATAGTGTGGCCTTTGCCTAAAATATCTTGACAAAGAACCATTACAATCTCAGTCGACTTGTTTCAGATATTTCATTTGTATTTTCGTCTTTGTCCATGTAAATTCGAAATGAATAAGTATATCCTAGGCCACTACATAATTTAAAAACTTTAATGCCATATCTGTGACGTTTTTGTTTTATATATTGGCGAAATACTGTGCGCCCTCGAAATGGCACTAAGGATTCATCCACGGGTAGTATCTCATCTGGTTTATAATATTTTTTAAAATTACTGTTCAAATGATTGATAACACTGTACAACAAATTTTGACTTTTTTTTGATTTCGTAACGGCTACTATGAAATTCTTATAGATTTTTGCGAGCTGAATACGAATCTGAGATCAGTTTTTCTCTAGGACGTACAGTTTTTGAGAAAATTAACTTTAAAAAAAATTGCAAATTTTCAACTTTGGAAATTTTTTGTGCTTTTACCGCTCAACTTTGG